CTTTACAATTAATTAAGTTATGGAACCAACCCTCAGATGCCCTTGAAACAAATGATTCAAAACTGGCAAAGGTAAAGGGCATCTGAAGAATATAAAATAAAATGATAGTACAAACAAGCAAACAGTGTGCATGAAAATGTTGGCAAACACTAGAAAAAATACTAAGGTACTTTCTCAAACTCAACATGAATACTAAAGAGGTTTTATGTAGCTGTATTGCACATACCAAAAGCTTTCCTGCCGTTAAAGGTTGGTTGCCTAGTATTTATGTAGTATGTACACGTTTTTCCCTCTATTTCTTCTAATTTAAGAAGCGAAAATGTCTCTAAAAATCTTATGGTTGGCATGAAGTATTCCTGATCATTTTACTGATTACTTACAATTGTCCTATTTCTGAGGGTCATCTTCTGATGAGTGTGTTCTGTGCAATGTTCACAACTGAAGTTCCTGTTTGACCTGTTACATATTGAAAATCCTCAATGAACATGATTTTGGTTTTAATTTCCATTGCAATTATTGATTACTTTTATAAAAAAAATCTAAACCAATTTATTGTAACATAATACTTAGGAAAATATCTATGAAATTTCAATGGAAAAAAGGAATCATTATCTCCAGTTATCCTAAAATCACAAGTAAGCATTAATCATATAAATTTACATACGTAAACCCATTAGCTTTTTGTGCTATTAAATCATAGTCATCGCTGTGCAATAAAGGAAATCAAGTACTAATCCACAGCTTGGTGGCAATAAAGTTACTATCCCCGAGTAAAAAGTGACAAGCCCAAATATAGAGGCAAAAATTAAAAAGTAACATTGAAAAAAAGTTCATCGTGAAATGAAAGAAAAAGTGAGCTAGCTCATATAACCCACGCTCCCCCAAAACTCGACACATAATGAAAGGCACAGCTAGTGCACTTTAAATACATAGTATAGATCAAAAAGGGCAATAATTGCAAAAAAAATCTTCACATCAAAATGTCTTGCATATGAGGACATTCAAATGTGGAATGAAGTTTTTAGATGAATAATGGAATCAAAATTTCTTGGCATTATACAAATCTAAACATTAATTTGAAGTGGTTGCAGGGGGGGGGGGAGAAATTTTCTTGAATAATAGGCAAAACTCTTTGGGATAAAATAATGGAATATGTCCTAAATATCTGCATAGGTTGACAAAATTCTGTGCAGCAGTTTATGAGGAGTTGCGCTGACAAACTGTTCATCTCTATATTCAAGGTATGGCCAAATGCCTAAGTTAAAAAGTGCGGAAAGTCCCAGAAAAAATAATGGAATCGGAATTTCCTGGTAATATGCACATCTACATATTGTGTCCTAAATATCTGCAAAGTTTGACGAAATTCTGTGCAGCGGTTTATGAGGAGTTGCGCTGACAAACTGTTCATCTCTATGTTCAAGGTATGGCCAAATGCCTAAGTTAAAAAGTGCGGAAATTCCAGGAAAAAAATGGAATCGGAATTTCCTGGTAATATGCACATCTACATATTGTGTCCTAAATACCTGCAAAGTTTGACGAAATTCTGTGCAGCGGTTTATGAGCAGTTGCGCTGACAAACTGTTCATCTCTATATATAAGGTATGGCCAAAAGCCTAAGTTAAAAAGTGCGGAAAGTCCCAGAAAAAATAATGGAATAGGAATTTCCTGGTAATATGCACATCTACATATTATGTCCTAAATACCTGCAAAGTTTGACGAAATTCTGTGCAACGGTTTATGAGCAGTTGCGCTGACAAATTGTTCATCTCTATATTGAAGGTATGGCCAAATGCCTAAGTTAAGAAGTGCGGAAATTCCCAGAAAAAATAATGGAATCGGAATTTCCTGGTAATATGCATTAATTCATATAAACATGATAAAGATAAAAATTTTCCGTAAATTACAAAATCTAAGTCAATTGCGTTATAAAGATATCAAAATTTAATTTGGATTCTCGAAATTTTCTCCGACTTGGAAGAAAATACAAAAGATTTAATAACACATTACAAAGAAGATAAAATCGTATTATTAGATGAAACGAGGTGTTCTCCGTGCTCCGAATTGTATGAAAAGCTTTAATTTAAATGTATTAACTATATTTCTTTACTTAATTTTGTATTTTTCAAAAATATATTTTTTGATCAGTTACGCCATATATGGCTTTAAATAAAAAAAAAAGCGCAACATAATTGCATGACCCTTATCATTGAGCTGATGGAGTAAATGTATATAATTTAATAATGAGATATCTGTGAGGCATATAAGTACATGCAAATATTGCTATATTAAACAAAAGAAAGGGGGAAATTCAAATTAGGAAAAAAAAAGATCGTTTTTAAGTAAATCAGTCTGGTAGTACTGCAAAATGGATGCAGTTGCGGAGATTTATGGATAATAGGAGCATGCTGTCTGGAATATTTCCATATAGAGAATTTAATAGCAAAAAGGAGTGAAAATACCGGTGGTGCTTTTCATGCATTACATGTGTATTTTAAAATTCCTAATAGCCCAAGGGGATTCCCCAGTGCAGAAAACCACTAGCCCCATCCTCAAAAATGGAAGCCCCGGGTGTAGCGCGATGCTAATTACACACACATCATGTGAAATAGTTATAGTAGCCCTATATCAATTTCAGTATTGTTTCAAATTTATTAAAACAAATGCCAAAAACAATAATTTGAAAAAAAATCAAAATAAAGCAGACACTCAGTCAAAATCAAAGACAGAAAGAAGCACTGTTTTGAATGAACGTTTTTCAGTAATACAATGAATCTCTTACATATCAGATCAATTTACATACAATTATTTAGTTGTTGTCAATTATCCCATTTATCATCATCTCAGCTCACTTTGCGATTGTAATACTGTCTACATGAACCGATAATTTACAGCTGATTTATGAACACACGATTGTTAAAATTTTCATTTCCCTTTCCAATATACATTGTCAGAAAATACTTAGTTTGTTATGATATAGAATTAAATAATTAACACTTTCGATTTATTAAAGATTATCTAACAATATACGATTATTTACTAAATACTTCTCGCCCTCAAAAGAGTTAAAAAGACAGAGAAAATTCAAAATACATACAAGTGCAACTTAGGATTAATTGTTCCGATATACCGGGGGTATCTATTTTAATTTTTGCACAATTGTTTTCAAAATTACATTGAAATCAATTTTCTTAAACAAGAACCCAGCAATAGATAAATATTAATCGAATAAACTTACCTTTTCTCTTGTCAATCAGACAATCTTGTTGACATTAAGTATTTCTTAGTCGCCATATTTTTTTCCATGAAAACAAACGTTGTTATGATCAGGATCAACGGAAGTTGATTTTCGGAACTCTCGAGAATTTAGAGTTCCGAATGTAAAACTGAAACACAAAACACGGTGCGTCCGTGAAAGCAACTTTTTTGGACACTTTTTTGGACAAATTGTCGTGTCCAAGTTTTGTTGGGTACTAACCTGCAAATACCCAATTAGGGTGTTTTAAGCATATTCAGCGACACTTCTTATTGGGTATACCCAATAAGCAAAAAGTACCCAATAAGTACAATCTTGGCATGAAAAATACCCAATAAATGCACTCTCGTAATTTGTATATTGAGCATTCAGTAGTGTATAGAATAAACTTGGAAACATGAACCCCAAATGTAGTTGATATGGGTGTACTGTTACATGTATATGAGTACGGGAAATGTTCGATATAAAAGTTCTCACCTTATCATAAAGTTTTGTTGTGAGACTACCATTTATGTATTTACAAAGTATGAAACAGATCCGAAGTACCGGACCTCACGTGCCACAGTGGGATTCGCCCTTTACGGGTCAACTCCTTACTTTGCGACTCTAAAGCAAACGTCCCAAACACTTTACCACGTCGTCTACTTGAATGCACTTAAGTAGTTATATAGAGAATATTACATACTAAAATCCATATCTATGTCATATCAGCCCAAGCGGCCGCATATCATATGATATGGGGCCCGAGGGCTGATGTGACATATGATATGGATTTTAGTATGTAGTATTCTATTTAACATATATTTAAAATACTTCATATGCGAGTTCACATATGGTGGTTGAAGAATATTTGTGTTTGTTAAGTACAGCTATTTGTAAGAACCAGGCAGGGGGTGATTCATGACCACTTCAGATTTTTACAAAATTTTAATATGTTGCTTCATGGACTAAGGGAACATCATTGGACAACATAATTTTTTTGGCCAGCCTTTGTTGCCATGGAAACAATGCACCATGTAAATGCACATGGCAACCAAGCAAAAAATTGAAAAAAATGTGAATTTAGCTATTATTGAACACAGGAACAGAGCTTTTTTGATGATAGTACCATAAATAAATCTTTTTTTCCTGAGAAGTACATACAAAATGATAAATGATTACCATAAGGATAAAATTATATAGGATTTATTAAAGGTGCTGAATTTCAACTTTTTTTAACATTAGGTCATAATCATTTCATAAAATTCACTTTTCACAATATTTCTTCAAATCCTGAAAAACATATTTTAAATTTAACATTATTAAGAAAAAGGCCAGCATGTTAAAGAAATCTGATAACATGGTGATAGAAAAAGAGCACATTCTTAATTTTAATTTTTAAAATTAAAATAAAACCCATGGGTTTTTGATAAAAATTATTCTTTACCTTAAATGTGTTGAATTTCAATTTAACATGTCACAAAAATTCATTTTTCACAATATTTCTTCAAATCAACATTTTTAGAAGCATATTAAGAAAAAGGCCAGCATGTTAAAGAAATCTGATAACATGGGATAGAAAGAGCACTTTCTTAATTTCAATAAAACTAAATAAAACCCATGAGTTTTTCAATAATATTCTGTTACCATGGCAACAAAATGTCACAAAAATTCATTTTCAGAATAATAACCATAATGATTTTTAAGAGCATAGTAAGAAAAAATCCCACATGTTAAAGAAATCTCATATGTGGAGTAGAAAGAGCACTTTCTTAATTTCAATAAAATTAAATAAAACCCATGGGTTTTTAAATAATATTCTGTTACCATGGCAACAAAATGTCACAAAAATTCATTTTTCACAATAATAACCATTTTTAAGAGCATAGTTAAAAAAAATCCCACATGTTAAAGAAAAGTGAAAACATGGGATAGAAAGACCACAATCCTAATTTTAATAAAACAAAACAAAACCCATGGGTTTTTCAAAAATATTCTGTAACCATGGCAACAGAAAATAACAAAAATTCAATTTTCAAGAAAATACCAAAATATATCATTTTCAGAGTATGTTGTGGAAAAAATACCACAAGCACAAAAAAAAAATTGATAATATAAGATAAAAAATGTTCTCCTAAACCTTGCAAATATTAGATAAAACCAGTGGATTTCTCATAAATTTTTGTAACCATGGTAACAAATTATTCTGGAAATGCTTTTTTAAATAAATTGACTTTACAAAATCTCCATAAAATACAAAATAATTATTGACTAACATACATATATTATTTTCACAGTTTATTGTAAATGCATGAAAATATATTTTTTAAATATGCTTTTGTGATTTGTATCTGGTTACCATGACAACATCTCCAAAAATATTGTATTTGCCTATACAATTTAGTCAATGTGATTAGCTTGTATGAAGAAAACTGTAGGAGTGGCCATTAGCTAAAATACTGAAAGACACAACATTTTTTTTTGTACCTAACTTCTTTAAAACAAATATTTGGTTTCTGTGGTAACTGTGATTAACCATTTATGAGACATGATCTAAATATTTCAATTGTATTTTTAAAGCAATTTTTGAAAAATCATCTGTAAATGTACTTTTTGCTGAAATACATAGTTTACAGTAAAGAAATCTTGAAAAAATGTCAATATAACATTATAAAGTGTATCAAATGTCAAAAAAAATCCATGTTCTTGACTAGATAGGCAAACTAAAATTCAAAATTTTATGTTGAAGGGGTGTAATATTAAATATCCTTGGGTGTATCCTGGTCTTGGTTTCAATAAAACCCCTTTTACATTTGGAGGAGCTTAAAAATCAATATCCTTTGTTTCTGGTCTGGATTTCTTTCAAAAAGTTTTAAACTGACAGTGTCTTTATTAGATTTTTTTGGCCATCATTTAGAAATGTGCCGTTGAGATTATCTGTATCAACTGTACAGGTACATCTATGTGTCCTGGCTGCTAAATAGGTGCTCCAGCTAGATTCCTCTGACACAATGCATGTGGTTCATTCATCAATCTGGAAAAAATATAATTCAAAATGTGAACTTTGTTAATGAAAATAGGCATTCCGTAAAGCAATTTTTTTCTTGTTGCTGTTAAGGAGGAGAGTATCCAAGGTTCGTTTTCTCTATGATCATGATCACGAATACAAGAAGGCCATGGTCCATAACACTCACCAGAGTAACTGGTCTTGCTGTTCTACACCAGATTTTCCTACTTGTAATACCTATTGTGGTTTAGGTCTATTCTTAGGAGGATGGGGGTTTTAACACAAATTTTTTTCTATTTTTTTCTCTTTTCTTGATTATCACCCCTTGTAAGTTGTAAGGCAAAAAAAATTAATTTCTTGGTTCTCAGAAAAACCTCCACTACATCTCTATTTTCAAGTGGTCCCTCATTGACCCTTTTTATTGCTAAATCAATAAAATCACCTCCCTCATCAAAAATTTTTTGAGGTTTTTTACAATGTAAAAAGCTGCCTCATCATGTTTTGGGGGCAAAAGTAAATAAATTACAATTACTTTGGATTTTAAATGTAAAAAAAAGCTGTCTCCCTCACTCGTCATATTTCTTGAAAAAAAGGCCAGGATGAAGTCTTTACTTTTTAAGTATTATTAACTTTGTATATATGGCCAGAAAGGGGTCTATAGCCCTGCCAAGTTTGGTAAAAACTGGCCCTGTGGTTCTAGAGAACTGTTACACAAGAAAAACCTCAGCTCAATTAACAATTCTTCTCTAAATTTTCAAGTGATGTAACCCCTTCTTCAACCCTCATCCCATCCTTGCCTCAAGTAGTTAGCTGTTATTTGATTCTGAATATTAGTATAACTAAAAAATTACTTTAAAAGCCTAAAGTAATTTTCTCATCTGTATATATATAAAGGGTATTTTTTTTTCAACAACAAAAATTTTGTTTAGATATGCTGCATTTTATAAATTTTAATTTCTAACTTTCTACTGATTTTAGTTTCCAATATTCAAAGAAACATTTGTATGGATTGATCAAAATAATGAAGATGACATACAATAATACATCTTTTACTCCTATTTGGCTTCCCACTTACATTTAACTGCAGTAAAACTTGTTTAGTACAAACGGACATATATGTGTGAAATCAGAGCCATATCACTCACCTGGCTTGGATAAAAATAAAAAAAGTCTTTTTGGGATCCCCAACTATATAAATATTACAAAATTACAAATATGGATATAGCTCCACCCCGAAATCTAACAAAATACTTTCAAAATATCTTCAAAACACTACCAAATCATACTTTTAATTATATAGCGAAACATCAATGTACTTTTACATTTTGGTCCTAGTTTGTTTATAACCAGAATGAAATTGCATTTTTGTACTGTCTACATATATGTGTAGAAAAATGATTTAACAAGAGACCCAGGTCCATATCACTCACATAGAGATTGATGGCTTGGTATATATAAATGGAAAAAAAATCAGCTTTGTATTGAAAAGCTTAAAAAAGCATATGTGGCCTGTTTTTATTGGGTTTTTGTTCATTTTAAGATTGACCTTTAACATCTCCCTGTAAGGGAGAGAGAGAGAGAGTCAATGGGGTATACACCAAAGGATTGAACATAACTGAATCTACACTAAGGATGCTTACAGGGTACTTATTTTTGACTAACTGTGAGTTTTTCCCTAATTATAATTTTAAAAACAATTTTGAACACTTTTATTGTAGCCCCACCCTATACCTGGGGGGTTTGGGGTTTTCAAAGTAACTTGTTATAGTGTTTTGAGCTCATTTGCATGTGATTTGCAAATCAAAACACTTTACACATATGTTTTGTAAGTAGTTTGTTATAGTATTTTGAATTTGGGACCCTATTCATGATTTGAACAAATCTACACTACGAGAAAATGCTTCCATATGTTTATATAACTTAAAGGCTTTTCTGTTTTTTGGAAGAATATTTTTAAAGGATTTTTTATCTATATTCTTAGTTAAACTTTGATTGGCCTTTGTGGTCCCACCCTATCCCCGGGGTCATGATTTGATCAAACTTGAATCTACACCACCTGAAGCTGCTTTCATATAAATATTACCAATCAAGGCTTGCTGTATTCGAGAAGAAGATTTTAAATATTTTTTTTTATGTATTCCTATATTAAACTCTGATCATACGCTGTGGCCCCGTCCTACACATGTGGTTGATGATTTGAAAAATTTGAATCTACACTACCCGACAATGGTTCCACATAAGTTTCATATTTCCTGGGCCATTGGTTCTTGAGAAGATATCAGTAATGCTATTAATTTTGTAATTCTCTCCCTTTGAAGAATGACAATGACAGACAAAAGACAAACTTTGATTAGAAAAGATCACTTGAGCCTTCAACTCAGGTGAGCTAAAAAATTCAGAGAATCAAGATCAGAAGAAATATATACCTGTTTCAAAGTCTCTGAATGGTAGTGTTCACTATAATTCAGCCCTTAGTCAGAAGGCCCTTGATTGCTAAACGAAAAGGAATGTTCTTAATGATAATTAAAAAAACTGCAAGTTGTCAACACAAAATATCGAGTTATCTAATGATACATAAATAATATAAAGTATATATAACACTAACATTAGTATAATTGATAATCTTTTCTTGGTGACGGTTGACCTCAATTTTTAAGTTTACATTACCTCAGCTGTGCAGGTGTTGTCAAAGGGGATTTTGAAATTCAGAACAAGGCTCAGATTGCATCTGAAATGATAACAAATCATGAAATTCATCATATGACAAGAGAATGCATACATTTATATAACAATTTAGCTTTCGAATTATTGATAATTAATATTTATTTAACCCCCCCCCCTCCCCCATGTACTAGTGATATCATCATGAATTCATACTATTAGTATATAAATTGAAAAAGAGTTCTAATTTTGTAGGATCAAATTTTATTTTTTAAGTTTTAAACCCAAATTAGACGAAAACATTGGCAGAAACCCATGCATATTGTATGTGCTCTCATATTTATAAATCTCTCTCTTTCTATGTGTGTATATATTTGCTTGTAGGAATATTTGGGAAGCCCCCCTCCTCCATTCGGATAGGGTTTTATGGCTTTAATACCCCCTCCCCCCGTTTCAACTGATAATACCATAACAGTATTGGTTGTTTTGCTTGTCAGTTAAATTTTGTAGGACTCCCCACCCTTATATATAATTCAAATAAAAGGAAATGCATTTGAAGAATAATTCATACACATATAAGTTTGGAAATATACAGTTTGAAAGGGCACAATTTTACATTTTGATTAAATGAATAAGAAAAATAGTAATTATGGTTTTGCCATAACATCTGAGTTTTTTCAGGGCTTTATTAAATATTCACTATTTTAAGAAGGACCCATTGGCCATTCCGAAAACAGTGTTTGAAATAACAGTTACAGTGCGCCTGAGTGCCCGAGACACACAAATTTTGCTGTGGGCTTACCAATTTGCACATATTGAAGCCCAGCTGGACTTGTTTAAAGTTTTCATTGATTAAAATTAATAATTTGATTACCCGGTAATAGCTTCCAAATCAACTAATGGTATCATGAGCAGTACAGGATTTGTGATTAAAAGGGGGGGGGGGGGGGTGGATAAATTTGTTCAGGCAAGGGGTCTTGATAATGATGTTCCAAAGTACAGTCATATGTTTAGTCATACCATAGTTTGAATGAAGGGGGTCCAGGGGGCAAAGCCCCAGAAGCTCCTGAGATTTGTGTTTTTAAGAGTAAAATTAGGCAAAAACATAGTGGTATTGTACGAAAGTATGGCATTATTAATATAATATTTTCCTACAGCAATACATGGACACTATAATATTCATATCATAGGGGGGGGGGGGTGTATTGCTCACAGTACCTCTAGTTTCAAAAATATATTTTACAAAAGACAATTATTTTCTCAGCTAGGCTGGTAGATTTTTAGCAGGACTGATGACTTTTACTAGCAGTCAGCCTGTATGTTTGCTATCATTTTTTCTTGTCTGTCCCCTTTTTCAATTTGAAAAAAAATAGTCAATATTGTCTTTGTTTAGACATTTGTCTGTGTTATGTATTAAATACCTGATCTAAATATGACATCCATAGAGGCGCCGAGACATAGAAAAAATTATGCTCCACCCAATCTCTGCTGTGGCTTTCACTGATTCTTGCTATGGCTTCATGTACATGATTTCTTCCAGTCGACTGTGTATATTGCAGTACTAAGGGAGTATCGACGGAAAGGAGAGATACTCATCATACTCTAATCCCCAGCAGTGAGCTACTGTTCAAATTCCAGTACAAAATTAAATGTTTTTCCCCAAATTTAACTGAATTTAAGTAGCTTTGATGTTATTGTTAAACAAGTTAGCCTTTTTCAAAACACTCAAACTGTTAGCATGTTTAGGAAATAAAATTTTGTTTTTGTCAGATAAAATTAAGCAAATTGCAGGCAGTTATTTTTTTTAATCCTAGGATTATATTTTTCTAACAAAAATTTAAGACTTACATGCCCCTTGGATGTATGAAAACTGGCAAAACTTCCGAAATGAAGATGAAATCACACACATTTCTAAATCCTCCCCTTCTAAACTGAAGAGTTAAATACACTCTTTCCAACTCCTTTTACTAAAGAGTGCCAAGGGAGATAACTAGAATTTCATATTTTACATAATTTAAAATCACAATATCTATTCGTAATTAAAATAACCCATGGGTTTTTTAATTGTTTTTTACTCTTTGATACTAGATGTTCAATATCTTATAATTCACATTCAAGGAGAGTGCGGGCCTTCTTAAAAAATCACCTGCACGCACAGACACCTTTCAATGGATATTGTTGACTGTTTCAGTATATATTGAATTCATTTTTTAATCAACTATGCATGAAATCCATTTATAACTGTGATCAAGTATTTAGTTTGATGTATCTTAATGTAAATATGATAGTTTTTGAAAAATCTATCACTATCATGAATCACTTATTTTCATTTCTGCCTGGTTCTTATAAATAGCTGTACTTAAGGACAGTTTTCTATAAAATCTAAAAGAGCCAATTTTAGGTATCTGAAATGAAAAATTGAGACCACAAATGTCATTAAAGAATTGTTCTATATGAATATTTAAATAAAATCAAGTAAATTAATTTTCAAACTTAATACAAATGTTACTTCCGGTTTGATATGGATTTTTGGCCCGTGGGTCCGATACATATTATGGCTTTTCGGACTGGTCCGTGATATGGGGTATTGTGACGTCACCTGTATCACACCGTGCAGAATCGGTATATTTACTACTAAGTATATGATCATGTTAATTAATGATGCGTGATCGATATATCTAAATGATTAGTTGAAATCACAATTAGAGTTCTCTTCTTTCAGGTACAGTTTTTTTTTATGAATTCTTCTTCATATAAATACAAAAAGAGGTCTGCTGATAAGGTGAGGGAATATGTACCCATCGGCATTCCAACAGATAATTTGAAAACCTGATCTCTGAACACTTTAAAGATGTTGTAAATAAGAAATTTATCGTTATTTTAACATTGCCTTCTTATAGGTCTGTCCACAATCCAAAACAATTTTTCGTTAAAAAATTCAGTAAATGACAATAATGAAAAGACAGGTAATTTTCAAGTTCTATTTACCATATAAAACGTGTCTTTGATCTCATAAAGCTTGGATGTAAGTTCTTTGCGGGGAATGTAAATTTAAAGTTTTACTTTTTAAATGTTAAGGTAATTTCACCCTCGTATGATGTCAAAGTTTTTTTCAAAAATCATAATTAGTTTAAATTTACACCTAATAGAACAATGTCTTTTGGTAAAATGCTTTTCATTAAGTATAATGATAAATATTGTTAGGTAAAAAAAAATTGAAAATGCATATTTTCTTTATTTAATCATTTATTTAATCTTTAAAAAATGTTGATAAGGGCATAACTCCTTCTAGGGTCTCTTCATTCAGGCATTTGCTTTATTGTACTTCTAATGTAAGAAAAAAATTCTTAATATTTACAATTCAAAGTATCTCATGAGTAGGAAGTTATAGGAAAATTCAGCATCAGAATTATGCATTTTCACCCGTTTTTACACATTTTTCATAATACTATTTCAAAAAAGGGGTATTTTTTATGTTTCGCATCTTAAATGATATGGTGACCTATACATTTTTTGCAATAATTGGAAAATTTAAAGTATATTATATAAAAACAAATGCAGTTTTGTACGTTAAACCATTACATTTGTGAGGGTGGAAACACCTTTATTGATTTTAGCAAATTGTAATTTCCTCTGGAGGATCATTTTTATTTGATAAGATAAAAAAATTACTACTATGATCAAAAATGTCGGACCATTCTTTAAATGATGTTTCAATTTATTGCAGAAAATATATTATTAAGGACACACGCAACGTACCTTACCTACTGATAACTTTTCAAGATATTAATTTAAGATTATAGTGTCAACAGCTGTTCATTGACAAAAATTCAGTATGCATTACCAGGGTTTTTAGGAATACATTGTATATCAAATTATGAATTTTTATTGCATTATTCAAAGAGAAAGATACTGAAATAGCAAAACATACACTTAACAAAACTTCTACGTGTTCACTTTAATAAATGTCTTTATTTAAAAACTACTTTATGGAAGGGTATGTTATTTTAAAATTATTACAACAAATAGGTCTTCTCATCAATTGGTGAAAGAAAGTCAAATATAACCGAGGAAAATCATGTTCCGTGACGAAGCTTAAAAACATTATATCTTTACTTTGCGATACTTGTGTTTTGTATTTAGCATCTTTTTGTGGCCATTATCAAATTTTAAAAACTGGATTCACTAAAAGGCACAAAACATTGGCAAAATAACCATTCAGATAGCAAGGAGAGCCGTTGGAATGTTGATATCGGGACCATCTTTGCACCACATATTTTACTCATTTTTATTTAAGTGCTTAATTGCACTTGATATTACTTATGAAAATTATCAAACAGTATCAAAACCCATCTAAACACATTTTTCTATAGGCTGTGATAAGTTTTCACCACTAATTTATCACAATTTGAAAGTTTTGGACAAAATTTAACCACACCGGAAGTGACCTTGATCTTCTGAGGAGAAAATTTCTCGTCACACCGGATTAAAAGAGTATTAAAGTGTCCTGAAAAAAATCTTAGAAAAATGGAAACAAACCATTTCAATCGTACGAAAATGATAAGAAATCGGTGCTCGTGGCAGTATTATATCAGCTCAAGCAGTCTGAATTGTCCCTAAAGCAGTGCACTTACGTGCTAAACACCCACGGAAATTGACCAAAAGGCATTTGTGTGATGATACACAGTAAAATTCCCGGATCTGAATCCCATTGAACACATTTGGGATTTTCAAAGAAATGTCAAAGCCCCCACCCCCACCCCTTTTTTTTCGTCACATTTACAATGGTTTGGAAAGATCTATGCAGTACATGTAGGTTTGGCAGAAGATGGGTCAATCTCCTATTCAGGGGTACATGGTATCCAACAATAAAGATTGTCTTGTAATAATTAGAGCGAATAGTGGATCTTACTCAATCGAGAATTTTGTGTGAATTTTCATTTTGAGGGTACATCATTTCCTTGAAACTTTGCTAAAAATTCTGACGAGATACTTAAATGAAATTTACGCAACATCGAACTTAAATGTGCATCATTAACCGAGAATTAAAGAAATTATTTATTGTTTGCATTTGTTCTTAAAAACTTCAAAAATGTTAGGTGAACACTTAAAAGTTTGGTTCAGTGTATATTCGAGATTTTAGATGTGTATAAATCCATATATAGTCATTTAAAGTATTGCATACGTGCCCTTCATTTAGTCGAACTCTTCAACTCCAGGGAAAAACCAAATTATGTTCAAAGTAATTTGTGTATGATCTTAATTATTTAAACCTTGGCTCGTAAATTTCGTGTTTTTGCTGATATATTTGTATTATTTTTTTTTCGAGATATTAATTGAACGGAAAACATATGTTACAATGAGTCACGCACATCTATCTATAAATATATGTGCTCTCTCATTTTTGACGTTCGGTGAGCGAGTTTTCACAGAAAAGGTAAGTAAAAGAATTTATTACATGTATATAGCTAATAAATAGTCTTCAATAAAATACTACTACATGTACAATCTAGAGAATTTAAGCGCTTAATATATTGACGTTTAATTGAACGCTAACTTTATACTACGTAATCAGGCAATTGGGGTATCGCCACCCTTGCCTTTTATTGGGAGTTTCCTATTTCGGATTTTTAATACGTATTGCATGTTATTAATAATGTTACTCTTCTATCTTCTTTTGCTGTTTTTAAATATCATGAAACACATATGTTTTCCACTGTTACATAAAAAAGATGGCTTGCAATTTGTTTTTATTCTCGTCGTCTGCCTCCTTTAATCTTCACTTATTATCTAAGGCGTATGAAATCATGGAATATGCAGACATCAATAGATTTGAAACACATTCTTCTTCCTTTTCACATTTCCATATATATATATTGTTATGTGCCTCCGATTAGTAAATATCGATTTACTCAACAACATATAGGGTGGAGTTGAGATACAAAACAAGTTTACTCATCCCTGGCTTTAGCAAGAAAAAAAAATGAAAAATGAAGGAGGGGGTCTTATGCTACTGCCTGTAGTTATTTTCAATGGTCAATACCGCTCGAAAAATATCTTTGTTTTATGTTTCATAAGTATTAGTATCTTAGCAGTTTTTAATTTGTGACCAACCTGTTTTAGTTTATATATTTTTCAAGTGTTCTTTTAAAAAAAAAGTTAACATTTTAATATACCGGTGCATTTCGATGTTTAATATACTTACTTCTTATTGATTATTATTATGAACTTTTAATTTGAATAAGACAAAGAATTTGAACCAAAATTTGATTGGCTGAAAACCTGAATATAAAATAACATGGGAAAAACTTCATAGTGTTTTTATTTGAAATAAGACTGTGTCAAATTTTATCTACCGTGAATCTGGAAATTTTTACGTCGATTTTATTTTGCGAATTCGGGTCAAAATGGTGTTGATTAATTTTTACGTTTCCAAATTTTGCGAATTACCACTCTTTGTGTACATTTTCTTAATGGTAATTTATTTTTAAGAAAAATATTTTTGCAGATGCAATGAACTC